CCTCGAATCGAGAAGCCCGCGCTTCTCTCGAGTCGCGTGCCAGGGTCGCGGCCGCCGGGTGGGCTCCACGTTCCTCCCAGACCGGGGAGACCCTGGACCTCCCGGAGGGCGGGGTGGCCGCGAGGGAGGACGGTGGAGGCCCAGAGGGGCCCAGGCCAGGACGCGAGGGCAGGTGGGGAGGGGAGCCCGGGGGCTTCCGGGCAGTGGGCTTCACGGCGAAATCTCCGAAACAGGAGCCTTGGGTGCCAGAGTAGGTTCCTCCGTGGGTTCAAACACGCCCCGCCTGTGCTAAGCGCTCACACGGACCCGGCATGTGTAGTGACTTGGGGCGTCAAGGTGGTCGCCTGAGATTGTCATTACCCCCTTCAAACTCGATTTCCCATCACCCCCCAAATGCCCTAAAGCCTCAAAGGGATAGCAGAAGTAGAAAACACCTTGGTGTCTCAGGCCTCACGGCGGTCGGGCGGCCTGCAGCTTTGCTGGGACATGAGAGGCTGTCCTGGAGGGACACATTTGCCATCGCAAATTCTCTCCCAGTTTCACCAGGTCCCTTCTCCGTGGGGCAGGAAGTAGGGAAAGCTCAGTGTTACTTCTTTTTTTTTTTTTTTTTTTGAGTTGGAGTCTCACTCTGTCGCCCAGACTGGAGTGCAGTGGGTGCTCCCGGCCACCGCAGCCTCGACCTGCTGGGCTCCGGCGGTCGTTCCGCCTCACCCTTCCAAGTAGGCAGAATTACAGGCACGCGCTCCCACGCCCGGCTGATTTTTCTAATTTATTGTAGAGATGAGGTCTCGCCAAGTTGCCCAGGCGGGTCTCGAACCCGCGGGCTCAGGCAATCCACTCACCTCAGCCTCCCAAAGGTGCGGGATGACAGGCTGAGCCACCGAGCCCGGCTTCGGTGTTACTTCTGTAGAACTCACAGAATTCTCTCTTCCTGTCACAGCTAAGAGGACCCAGGATCCTACTCTTCCTCAAATTTAAGGCACCAGTCAGGCAGGTCCCATCACTGCTTAGGGGCAAAGGCATCAGGAAAACACATATGCATATATATATTATTTTATACACATATATATGCATACATATATGCACACACACACACATACATATATATACACTTTTTTTTTTTTCCTAGTTGGAATCTCACATCACAGCACATCACAGCTCACCACAGCCTCAACCTCCAGGGTTCAGGCGATCCTTCTGTCTCAGCCTCTCAGGTAGCTGGGACTACAGGAATATGCCATCATGTCTGGCTAATTTTTAAAATTTTTTTAATAACAAGGTTTTGCTATGTGCCCAGGCAGGTCTCGAACTCCTGGACTCAGGCAATCCTCTGGCCTCGGCCTCCCAGAGGGTTGAGATGACAGGCCTGAGTCACAGCACCCAGCCTGAAAATATTAATATGCTGCTAAACAACTTAAAATATTTTCCAACAGAATTTCCGAGGCACACAGGAAAGGGCCGAGTCGCACAGGGCCGGGACAACTCTTTTGGAAGCGATGTTAGCAAAAGAGTTGTGTTTTCCTGATGTGTTTGATACACACTGGGAGGAGGAAACAGAAGCAGAGTATGGTGTGGCATGCAGAGGCCATGGTTGGGACCTGCCACGATCGTCCCCTGGTTTACCTTAACCATGGGACCACAAGGCTGCATGTGAACCTGTATGTTTTACTGATTTTACAAATAAAACTTCAGCTGGGTCTGGAAAAGAATGCCAGTAGCCAGGCATGGTGGTGCATACCAGTGGTTCCAGCTACTTGGAAGACTGGGACAGAAGACTCATCTGAGCCCAGCGGGTCGAGACAGGGGTGGCTGTGAGCATGCCACACTGCACTCCAACCTGGGTGACAGAGTGAGGCTCCAACTCAAAAAAAAATGAGGCTGGGTCTGGCGACTCACACCTATAATCCCAGCACTTTGGGAGGCCAAGGTGAGAGAATTGCCTGAGCCCACAGGTTCAAGACCAGCCTGGGCAACTTGGCAAGATCTCATCTCTACAATAAATCAAAAAATTAGCTGGGCGCAGTGGCACACACCTGTGGTTCCAGCTACTTGGAAGACTGAGTCAGAAAGGAACACTTGAGTCCAGCAGGTCGAGGTTGGTGTGCCTGTGAGCGTGCCACGGCACTCCAACCTGAGCGACAGAGTGAGATTCTGACTCAAAAAAAAAAAAAAAAAAAAAAAAAAAGCGGTGGCTCATGCCTATAATCCCAGCACTTTGGGAGGTGGAAGCTAGAGGACTGCTGGAGCCCATGGATTCGAGACCAACCTGGGCAATATGTGAGACCTCGTCTCTACAATAAATAAAAAATTAGCTGAGCATGATGGTACACACCTGCCATTCCAGTCACTTGGAAGGCTGAGGCAGAAGGATTGCCAGAGCCCAGCAGGCCAAGGCTGCGGTGGCCATGAATGTGCCACTGCACTCCAGCCTAGGTGACAGAGTGAGACTCCAACTCAAAAAAAAAAAAAAGAAAAAAAAAAACCTTAGAGATGAGGTCATCTTGCTGTGTTGCCCAGACTGGTCTCAAACTCCTAGCCTCAAGGGATCCTGCTGCCTTGGCCTCCCAAAATCTTAGGTCTACAGGCATGAGCCATCATACCTATCCCAGTTCTCTCATATTTCAACAGATATCAGCAATTCCAACTTCTACCTGGGATGCCAAAAAATTGTATACACATTTTAAGCGATCTTATCTATGGATTACTTTTAGTTCATTGTTATCAGAAGTGTCTGGACACTGATGAGAACCACTTTGAGCACCCCTTGTAATTGCAGAAGTCAAATGTTAACTTCTATTTATCTTTTGTTATCAGTATATATTGAGTATTACCATTTTAATACAGCTTTTTGTTTCTTTCTTTCTTTTGAGTTGATGTCTCACTCTTGCCTGGGCTAGAATGCAGTAGCATGCTCACGGCCACTGCAGCCTTGACCTGCTGGGCTCAGGTGATCCTTCAGCCTCAGCCTTCTAAGTAGCTGAAACCACAGGCATGTGCCAGCCATACCCAGCTGATTTTTTAATTATTGTAGAGATGAGGTCTTGCCAAGTTGCCCAGGCTAGTCTCGAACCCCTGGACTCAGAGAGTCCTCTCACTTGAACCCCTGGACTCAGGCAATCCTCTTGCTTCCCACCTTCCAAGGTGCTGGGATGACAGTCGTGAGCCACTGAGCCTGACAATCTTTCTTAAAATGTGTATTTTTTTTTTGGTAGGGGGCACCCTCTGTATATAAAAGCTCCCAATTTTAAAATAGTGACTCAGCTTAAAAAAGAAATTGTGTCACCTACACAAAAGACATCTAAGGATATC